TCTAATCCTGATAGCATACACCCCCCTCCCGGCCCTGGACGAAAAACCCCCCCCCCCAGGATCGCGCTGTAACCCCCTAACCCCCTAACCCCCTAACCCCCTAACCCTGACCACTGGGAGTATCGCAGGACACTCAGAGGAGCAGATTGACTGTGAACAAGTATCAGATCTGAATCCAGCTTGAAAAATGGATGCAGCTGGTAATCATAACATGTGGAGTAGAAATCGCTATCTCAGGAACGAAAGGACCTGCCTTTGCATCGGAACTATTTCTGCGATCTCCTCAAAAAATGGTGCAGAATGAGTACCATAAGTCCTCCATTTCCTCAAAGTCAAACTCTCGCCTGTGATATGGGGAATAAAAAAATGCTATCTCAGGAACCAAAGGACCTGCCTTTGAACGGGAACAATTTCTGAAATCTCCTCAAAAAATGATGCAGAATGAGTACCATAAACACCACATTTCGAGTGATGAGGATGAAAACCCCCCCCCCCCGGATCCCTATGTAACCCCCTAACCCCCTAACCCCTACAGTAGCAGTGGCGTTGACTTGAGTCTTGAGTTGACGACGACGTTGAGCAGCACGACATTCAAAAGCTTTGTGTCCTGGTTTCCCACAATAATTACAGAGGTTGTTCTTCATTCGATGTTCACGCTCTGCTGGGGTGAGAGGACCATAGGTTTGATGTGTTTGAGTCGCGTCAATTTCCATAGGAGTTGGAGTAAAAGTTGTGGTTGAGGTGGTGCAAGGAGTGAAAGTGTTGTTGTACTTGGGAGTGAAAGTGGTTCGTGCATTGTTGTTGGTGAAGGTGTTGGAACGAGGAGTATTATTATTGTTGTTAAAACGTTGGTTGATGTTTGATTGTGTACGAGGATTGTTGTTGGAGCCACGCCTTTGATAAATTAAGTCGTCATATTCATAGCTGAAGAGACTTATGTCTCATAATCCTTAAACTTGCTTGGGGCAGGAAGTCTATCCTTAACATCATCCTTCAAGTCCATCAAAGGAGGTTTTGTTTCTTCGTGTCTTCATTCCAATGGACGTA